CCTGTCCCTGGTGAGCCAGCGCGGCCGCCGCGGCGCTGCCCGAGGAGGACTGCATGAAGCTGAACCCCTCCTTCCTGGGCATCGCCCTCAGCTCCCTGCTCGCCATCGACCTCTGGGCCTCCAAGCGCCTGGGCGTCTGCGCTGGAGAGGACTCGGCCTGGGGCAGCGCACGTCCCCTCATGAAGGTCGTCGAGGTTTCGGGGCACGGCATCCCCTGGCTGCTCGGCACCTTCTACGGGCTCTGCCAGAGCGACAGCTCAGCGGCCAGGGAGGTGCTGCTCAACCTGCTCTTCGGTGAGGCTGGGGGATCTGCAGGCTGGGGCTAGCTGGAGCCGAGGGAGAAGGATGGGACACGAAGACGGGGCAGAGCTGAGTAAATCTCAGCCTCCTCCAGCCCCGAGGGCACCAGCTGATTTTGAGTAGCTAGTGCAGGCTTATCTGGGGTGCCTATACCCCAGAGTGAGTAACCCTGGAGCTGGAGGGCATGGTGGCATGGGTACAGCTCATGTATCGCAGCTCCAACCACACGCTCTGAAACTCTTGGCATCCAGACTGCTCCTGCAGTTGCACAAAACTTTCAGGGAACTGAAGTCTCTGTTAGTTCTTCAGCTTATTAGAACAGCACATTTCAGGTACAGCTGCCTAGTGTTGAGACACTAGCCCGTTCCCTGAAAAGCTGCATTGGCACACAGACATCTGCACCCTCGGGCTTCCTGAAGGCAGTACCTGCATGGATTGATGCATGTCAGCCAGTGAGGAAACCTGCTTGAGGCATACATTTTAATATTGGGTGGTGCCACATTCCACCCCCAGCATCCTGTCCTATTAGGTATACCTGGATTCTTCATTTTTGCTCATTTAGAAACTGTACTAGCTCCAGAGCAATAGACCTTGTCAGGTTCCTAGTTCTTACCCTTTTATGAAGCTGCAAATAATCACTATCTCACACTTACAATATGAATTTAAATGTTTGGTGGGAAATGCATGGGTTTGTACATGGGTTTGTACATCTTTTTCATCTAGCAGCACATAAATTACAGTCCCAGAGCAGAGCTGTGGGAGGGGACCTGGAGGCCTTCAACCTAACCTCTGCTCCGTCTGTCCCAGCACCAGGGCTTTGTCCAGCCCTCAGTGCTCTGGGGCAGAGCCCCCCACCTCTCTGGGGCCCTGTCCTGGGGGTGCAGTGCCCATGTGGGTGAAGAGTGTTCCCTAATGTCCAGGCTGAATCTCTCAAACCATATGGAAAAGAGAAAATGCAATTAAACTAGGTTTACACGTGGGGGAAAAAAAAAAAGTTCTTAAATGATTAACCAGAGGGAATGAACTAAAGTGAACACAAGATTTGATGACCAGAAACAAGCCTTAGGACAAGCAGAAGTTGATCTCTTACAAGACTGCCTTGAAAGAAGTAGCCCTGGCCGTGAGTGCTGAGCTAGCGGGGATGGAAAAACCACCTTCTGCCCTACGCGAGAAGCTGCTCTTGCCAAATACAGGCTGAACACTTCTCACAGGTGCTTCACCTCTGACTTCCACCACAACAGCTTTTAGCTCTCTGAGGGCAAGCCACTGTTATTGACATCACCTCCTTCATTCAGCTCTTGAAAACCAAAGTGTGGTTGACTTTCTAGTGTTAATCCCCCCAGCAGCAGGGAGAAGCCAGACCTCACACTGAGTTGAGGCTGAGTGGTGGAAGTGGGTTGATCATTCACCACGGTCAGTTTGACACCCAGCCAGGAGGGTAGGCAGAGCCATGCTGAGTCAGCACAAACTGTCAGCAAGGGAATTGCAGGGACTATTAACTCCTCTGTTGCCTTTAGGTTAAGGATCCGTTTGAGCCCCGAGTCATGGGGAGACCAGGCTTTACAGAGAAAGAACAGCCCAATACACCCAACGAGCTGGGCTGTTGTTGGCTGTGTCAGGGAGAGGGTCTGTGGTCGCACAAGGGCTGTGTGCAGAAAGAGCAGAGGTTGAAGACATGCTCATGGTGAAGGCCAAGTGCTGGATGAGTGCCATGCTGGCTATTGTAGCCATGGGAAATATTGCCTTCTCTTAGCAGGTTTTGGTAGCCAGATGCTTTCTTCCTAGCTAATGGCTTTGCTTTGATTCTTGCCCTCTAGGAAGGGAAAGAAAACACCAAACTTTGCTCACTCACTGTTACTGTCTCCTAGCCTTGCTGCTGGATCTCGTGCTGGTGGCATTGGTGAAAGGGCTTGTCAAGCGGCGGCGGCCCACCCACAACAAGATGGACATGTTCGTCACCATCTCAGTGGACAAGTATTCCTTCCCATCGGGCCACGCCACCAGAGCCGCCCTGGTCTGCCGCTTTGTTCTGCGCCACCTGGTCCTTGCTGTCCCGCTGCGGGTCCTCGTGGTGCTCTGGGCTCTCATCGTCAGCGTTTCAAGGGTCATGCTGGGCAGGCACAACATGACGGACGTGCTCTTTGGTTTGGTGCTGGGCTACGCGCTGTACAGCGTGGTGGAATACTGCTGGCTGTCCCCACTCAGCGCGCCTGCCCTCTTTGCGCTCTGGAGCCACTGATGGCTGGGTCTCTCCCAAAGGAGGAGGCGTGCACCTGGTTTTCTAAGCACGCACAGGGAGGGGATACTTTCAACACTAGCGGTGCTGCAGGCTCCTGGGCCCGCACTTACACATTTGGTGCTGTCTTGCTCTCCTGATGGGCTGTCAGGCAGGGTGTGCATTGGCCAAGCAGTCACACTAACTGCTCTCCCAGGAGAAAAACTGTCACTGCAGAGCCCGAGGAGGGCTCAGCACATTCATCCAGCAGCTTGCTGCTGATACTGTGAATCTGCATGCTCGTGCTGGGCACCTGCTGTGTTAGCTAATGGTGTATATGGTAGCTGTGGCTTTGCAGAAATTCCTCTGCAGTCACTCATGTATCTGTATGCTGTAAATACACTGATCATGTTGCTGTTGTGAGCATGCCCTGCACAGCCTGCTCCGTAATGTCTGCCTGGAGGGGACTCACAGGGGTCTGTCCTCAAGTTTATAGAGAGCTCTGCCTTCCTAAGCAACACGTCTCTTCCTTACTGATTTAAGTACCTCACTGAAGCCAGGTCTTAAGCAATGAGGACATGGGCTGTGCCGTGGGAAAATGATGGTGCCGTTGAGGGTTTGATCTGTCCATGCCACCTCCCAGACAGTGGGTAACTGGGGAGGCAGCTCCCAGCAGCAGCCCGCTTGCTGAAGCCCTTGAACAGAGCTCCACAGCTTCTTTCTCCCTCTACAAGATTTTCAGTCTCCCAGGGGTACAGGGTGCTCACAGCAATTTCCATTTGTCAGTGTTACCAGCGCTGCTGGCAGCATTCTGCAGAGTAAGCCCCTTCCCCACAGCCCAACAGCCATACACCCTCACCCAGGCTGCCAGGCAGCCCCAGGAGCTGAGCCTTACCTACAAATCCTGCAGCAAGAGGCCCTGACTCTCCTACCCTGGCACCACTGGTTCTGGCAGCCTGCTCTTCATAAAGGACTGATTGTCCTTGGCAGGAAGGGAACCACAAGGAGCCTCTAATGAGCCAGAGCTGAGATTGAGCCAGAAAAGCACAGAATCAACAAGGACTATAGGCAGGAATTAAAGGCTCTGGACTGAGCTTAAATAATGCTCCTGACATGTGGGTGGGGGTGACTGCACCCAGGTGAGGCTTGTCATGGCCTTTAAGGTCTATTACTGCACTCAGGCCCTGGAAAGTGCAGATTAAGTCATATTAAAACCAGGCAGTGTTTAAGTGTGCTGTTCCTCTGGGTGAAGCATGCAGGAGCAGCCTGAGGGCTGCTGGTACAAGCACCCCATCTCTGTCACCCACCATCAGGTATACAGGGACTGAAATAAAAGCGCATGAAAAGGTTCCCCCAGAGCTGAGCCCTGGCCCACCAGCACAGTGAGCTGGTGTAGCTACCACCTGTGTGTTTGCACTCCAGTGACCAAATAAAAATAATCCCCTGGGTTGCATCACGCGCTTGGAAGCCAGCTGGGCCAGTCTGGCATGTGCACAGCAGTACCTGGCCACCAGCCAGCCCGCCCACCCCATGGCAGAGATGAGCTCTGGTGGCTGTGGGACCACAGGCAGGTGACATGCTCCAGTGTAGTCAGGATTTGGGGTGATCAGGGCTTGTTGAGCTGTGCCAGAACATCTCAGCTCTGCTTTTTCCCAAACATGGGGTGCTTTTCGTCCAAGTGGTTCTTACAAGTGTTGGGGTCTTCCTCTCCAGGCCATGGAGGAGTACAGCAGCAACTCTGTACATCTGTGGCTTGTTCCCACATGCATGTGCATGCCAAAAGTTGCTCCTGGGTCATTTGCAGGACCCTCCATGAGCTGCTTGGTGGCACCCATCACCAGTGCACAGCCCCTCTAGGTCATGGGTGGCCCTGCTGCCCCCTCACCTCTGCTCTGCTTCTCCCCACCTCCGCCAGAGAGACCTTTGGTCTTCTCTTGTGCTTGTCACTTGTCACTGCTCCTCCGAGCGCGGGTGCCAGTCCATTGATAGGAAGGAGGAGACTGGTGCTTTCTGCTTGGCCTGTCCCGCAGCACCTCTGCCCACTGTGGAAGCCCTGAACAGACGTCTCTGCATGTGCTGCCCACCACACTGTATATCCTGGGTGCTTGCTTGGCATGGGGGCCTGTAGCTTTCCTGCAGACATCAACAAGCCAGTCTTGACCAAAATGCCATGATTTGACTCTGGCGTGCTCCCACGGTCCCCTATGACTGACGGCAGGGTTCAGCCAGCACATGAGTCCAAACACAGTGGGGGCAAAGTCCAGGGCTGTGCAGCCTCTTGCAGCCGCCAACAGAGAAGGGCAAATTCAAAGGTAACCTGCACAGTGGTTTCATAGCACGGTGGTGGGGTTGAGGGCTGGGAGAAGTCTCCTGTCCTGTGGCCCTCGGGCAGTCACTGCAGAGCTTGCAAAAGAGCCAGAAGCCAGCTGAGAGCGGTGCAGGGAAGGGAGCACTGCCAGTTCTGCCTCCTTGCCATCCTTGTGCTGATCCCCCTGCCTGGTAAGAGACGCTTTTGATGCTTTCCGTCAAGCAGGCATAGAGCGTGGGTTGGCAGCTCGGTGACTCTGCCCCAGGCAGAGATCAGCCCTTGCCAACAAGGGACAGAAAGAGCTTTATTACCTTTCTGCAAACATACTATTGAGTTTTAGAAGGTTAACATGGGTTTAGCTACAGAGCTTGGCCCCTCCACAGCCCTGTGCCTTGTGAAGCTCTGGGGTGAAGCTCCCCAAACACAGGAGAGCAAATTCCCCCTGGATCCCCTGGGGACTGTCCGGCTGCAAGTGTACCAGGAGCCAGCAGTGTGCACCCGAGCTACATGGTCTGTGCCTCCTGCTGCTGGAGAGAGCCTTTTCCTAACCAGTTCCACCACCCTGGCACCAGCGATACCCCAGCAGCACAGTGCTTCTCACACCGGGGTCCGCTGGCCCCAGGACTCTGCTGACTCAGTGGCTATGGGGAGGCTGTGCCGACATGCCCAGCCCAGAGCCATGGGGGACATGGGCAATGCGGTGCTGGGTGGCACCAGAGCAGCCAGAGCCACCTATGCCCCTGGGCACCAGCATAAACAGGGTTGGGCTGATCTTTATAATCCCAGAGGTAAAAGTTCAGGGCAGCAATTGTTTACCCAGCATGCATGCCACGGTCTGGCTGCGTCTCTGCTTCTGCAACCCTGTCCCTACAGCGTCCCGCACAGGGCTCCCTGGCAAGGCACCTGGGACGGCTCCTTACCGCGCTGTCTGAGGCTCCAGTAAGAGCCACTGCCGGAAAAGACAAGCAGGCATCCAGGGAGGCAGCCGGGTGCTGGCTTCCTCTCCTCAGCCCGGTGGGAGGAGTGACGAAGGGGGAGGCTCCGCACCATAGAGCCAGGCCGCCGTCCGGCGTCACAAGTTGGGGAAACCCAACAGAGACCTCCGCACGGCTCCCTACCTGCCACGGGCCTTCCCTGGGCTGCCGCCGGCCCTCCCTGGGTTGCCACTGCCACGGCTGCAGGTTGGTTGAGGGCCTCCCCGCGGGCTGTCAGCATGCAACGGGCATTGAGGTGCCACGACAGGCAGCTCCGCGGGAAAGGGAGAGGGTGAGGGGCAGATGGAGGAGCTGTCACCCACCTGGGAGGGAGCCGTCGGTCCCCGCGGCAGGGCATGTCACTCCGGTGTGCCTTCATCACTGGGACTTGGCGTGGGCAGGGAGATATCGAGGCTTCCTGGCAGTCGGTAGTATTCCTCTCCACAGCACCCAGAGGCAACACCGTGATGGTACAAAACCCCAGCACTGGCCAGGTCCCTGCTGGGGAGCAGATAGCTGTTGCCTCACAGCCCCAGACAAAATTTCAAGGGGTGCCTCTCAGCTTGGGACCTCTTTGTTGTGCAGGGCCAAAATTTTGCACAGCTGCGCCCCTTGGCCCTGAGCTCCGCTCTCAAGCGCTGTCTGCAGGCAGAAACCGGTGGTGGAGGGCAGCATGGCAAAGAGGGTGGCCATCGTCGGAGGGGGCAGCAGCGGGCTGTGCGCCATCAAAGCCTGCCTGCAAGAGGGGCTGGAGCCCATCTGCTTCGAGGCGACCATGGACATCGGAGGGCTCTGGAGGTTTGAGGTAAACACTCTCAGCCACGTGTCCTGCCAGGGGTCAGCACGGTGGCAGCCAGGCATCAGTAGCAGCTGGTGGGGTGGCACGCAGCCAGCCATAGCAGGGTCCTGGGGGCAAGGCTGAGTGAGGGCAGAGGATCCACACAAAAAGCCACCACAGCAGCCACAACCATCCTTCCCCTTCACTGCTCCTGGCCAGCACCAAGCCGTGCCCTGCTCCCACAGGAGAGCCCTGAGGAAGACCGTGCCAGCATCTACCGCTCCGTCATCATCAACACCTCCAAGGAGATGATGTGCTTCAGCGACTTCCCCATCCCCGAGGACTTCCCCAACTACATGCACAACTCCAAAATCATGGAGTACTTCCGCATGTACGCTCAGCACTTCAACCTGCTCCGCCACATCCGCTTCGGGGTGAGAGCTGGGGGGTTCTAGGAGGGTGGCAGCAGTGGGGCTGGGGGGCGCCAGGTGCCTGACACCCGCTCCCCGCATGCCCAGACCAGTGTGTGCTGCGTGTCCAAGCGCCCTGACTTTGCTGCCACGGGCCAGTGGGAGGTGGTGACAGAGAGTGAGGGGAAGCAGGAGGCAGCCATCTTCGACGCCGTGCTGGTGTGCAGTGGACACCACACCAACGCACACCTCCCGCTGAACACCTTCCCAGGTACCACCCCACACCCCAGCACAAGGAGAGACCCCAGAAAGCTTGGCTGTGCCAGTCCCTTTTCTCCCAGCTGCTCTTCCTCCTGACCTCAGCATTTCCTTGTCTTGCTTTGGCTCCAGGAGTGCTCTCGTGTTCCCCAGGAGGGGTTTGGTGGGGCCGGGGAGCATCCCCACTTCAGTTTTTGGGGAGGTGACTCTCCAGCCCAGTGCCAGGAAGCCAAGCATTCCTTCTCCCTGCCCACAGGAATTGAGAAGTTCAAGGGCCGCTATCTCCACAGCCGAGACTACAAGGATGCTCAGGATTTCACAGACAAGAGGGTCGTTATCATCGGGATTGGGAATTCAGGGTCAGACTTGGCCGTGGAGATCAGCCAAACAGCCAAGCAGGTGAGCAACAGGAGCAGGGTCCTGGTGGGCAGAGCAGCTCCCCATGGGACACTGCCGGCTCCACAAGGACACCAGGACCAGGGTGTGCACACAGCTGCTGCTCCATCCCGGCACCCACTGCGTTTGGCAGTGCCAGCACCTGCCAATCCCAGCTGCCAGGCAGTGCTGGCAGCCAAGACTCAATCCTGTACAAATACCGTGATTTCCAAGCCTGAGCCTCAGGCTGGGGCTGCTCCTGCAGCTCTTCCCTACCTCTCCTTGCTGGGTGCTGACCACTGGTTCTCTCTGCCCTCCGGGTCTTCACACGGCACTTGGGCAGCACGAAGAGAAGCAATCCTGGGGCAAGGACATGTCCACCTAAGGGCAGCCACAGGACCATCACAGCCTTCAGGAGGTGATGCTTGCTTCCTTGCCCAGGTCTTCCTCAGCACCCGCCGGGGTGCATGGATCCTCAACCGCGTTGGAGATCAGGGCTACCCCATTGACATCATCCTCACCACCCGCATGAATAGATTCCTGCAGCAGCTGATGAGCTCATCCATGGTGAGCGACTTTGCGGAGAAGCAGCTGAACGCCAGGTTCAACCACTCACACTACGGCCTGAAGCCAAAGCACAGGTGCCAGAAAAAGCTCCCCCTGTCCAAGAGGGACCCTCTGACTCCTGCCGTGTTCAGCTCCACTTGTCCATTTCCATGCTCCCTGTACCCAGGCTGGAGCCAAGGTACCAGCCCTGGAAACCCAGTTCATAGCTGTGTTGTGTCCAGACAACGCTCAAGGGAGCCACCACTTCCTCTTCCAGGGACCCTTGGTGGCACCAGTGCAGCAGCAGCTGCCAAGCACCCCTAGGGGACCAGCCTCGCTTGCAATTAACATCCCTGGGGATAAGCATCCCCAGAGCAGGATGAGCAGGACACAGAGCAAAGACACCCCACCTCAGCACCCTGACAGGCCCTTGTACTTTTCAGGATCCTTGACCAGCACCCGACCATCAACGACGACTTGCCCAACCGCATCATTTCGGGCAGGGTGTTGGTGAAGCCAAACATCCAGGAGTTCACGGAGACATCTGCCATCTTTGAGGACGGCACCAGGGAAGACATCGATGCTGTGGTCTTCGCCACAGGATACAGCTTCTCCTTCCCCTTTCTTGAAAAATACGTGAAGGTGGTGGAGAACCAGATCTCCCTCTACAAATTCATGTTCCTTCCTGACCTGGAGAAGCCTACACTGGCTTTCATTGGCCTCATTCAGCCCCTGGGTGCCATCATGCCCATCTCTGAGCTCCAGTGTCGCTGGGCCACTCGCATCTTCAAGGGTAAGTGAGGCAAATCTCCCCTGTGGCTGGAGCCCAAGCCTGCACCCTTGGATCTGGGGCAAATAGTGCCCAGCCATGTTTGGGAGGCAGCAGCCAGCTGTGTCATGCTGACCAAGGGCAATGGCATGGCTGCCTTGCAGCCATCATAGTGAGCTGGGCTTTGTCCTGAGCAGCACAGGGACATCTGTACCCTGAGTCCCACAGGCTGCTTCTTCCCATCTCAAGGAGCTTTGACATGTCTTGGGTGCCAGACTGCCTGCCACGGTGGTGCCAGCAAAGGCAGGACCACAGTGGCCACTATTGCTAGTGGGGTGCAGCACCCGCATGCTGTGGTCATCTTCCCTAGGGCTGAACAAGCTGCCCCCACAGCACAACATGGAGGCTGACATCAAGCGGAAGAAAGAAGCCATGGCAAAGCGGTAAGACCCTCCTGGAAACAGGGAGGGGGGCAGTTTGGGTATGGCTGCTTGTGGGCACTCATCCCGTCCTGTGGCTGCATCCCAGCACATTTGGCCATGCCAACAGATGGCAGAGCTGCTCTATTGCCACCCCACTGATCCTTCCCAATGGCAGTCTGTCCAATACCACCTTCCTGGTGTGCGGGGCATCTGCCAGATCTGCTGCCAGCACCTGCCTGCCCTCCCTGCCCACAGGTACGTGAAGAGCCAGCGGCACACCATCCAGGTGGATTACATCCCCTACATGGATGAGCTCGCCTGCCAGGTGGGGGTCAAGCCCAACCTGCTCACCCTCTTCCTCACTGACCCCAAGCTGGCACTGGAGGTGGCCTTTGGGCCCTGCACGCCGTACCAGTACCGCCTGCAGGGCCCAGGCAAGTGGGCAGGTGCCAGGGAGGCCATCCTCACCCAGCAGCAGCGTATCATCAAGCCCCTACAGACACGGCGTGTGGAGAAGCAAGCACTGGCCCCTGCTGTGCCCCTCATCTTCAAGCTGGTTGGGGCTGTGGCCATCTTCGCTGTCATTTTTGCTTACTTGTAGGTGCCTTACAAGTGTGGGAAGGGAGGCTTTGTGATGTGCTGGGGGGGCTGACTGGCCATCCCCTGCCCTGAGGCAGCCTGTGCATCCCAGTACTGGCAGGAGCCCTCCTCCTGCCCAGTATGGCCCCACTGTGGCCACACTGCCAGCTCAGGGTGAACAGAGCCTCCCTGGCTGCTGAAATAATGCTTCAGCACCTCTTTGCACCTCCTCCTGGAGAGCAGCTGCCAGGGACAGGCAACGAAACCTGCTCACATGCAGGATAAAATCCAGACCCCCTTTGGCAGCGCTTTTGACCTAGCAGGGACAATACCAGCTTTCCTGTTGCCTATAACCTGTCTGAGCCACCACTGGCACACTCACATGAGAGCCAAGTAGCAAGGGCACAGCAGACTTCCTAACTATAAAAGTGTGTTAAACAGAACCAGGTGTCCGTCCCATCACTGACGCCATGTCCCACTGCGTGCCAGGGACACACACACAGGTTTGAGGTCAGCCTCGTGCCAGCAGTGCAGCTCCAGCTCTGCGACAGCACAGGCTACATGCACACACACACGTGCACATGTGTATATCCATAGCAAAAGAGCCTCGCCCAGGGTGTCTGCCACCAGCATAGATCACAGTAGCCACAGCGGCATGGCTCAGTGCCACCCTCATCACCTGCATGCAGCCGCTCTGGAGGATGGCTGGGTGGGTTGGGGACCTGGAGCAGTGACAGGGGGTCCTGGCCACCACACATGGGGGCTGGCACAGCTGCCAGCCGCCAGTGCCCTGAGAATCCCCCTGGTTTTGTTTTCCACGCCACGATATACCGAATCTGGAGCATGTCCACATCTCAGCCCCACACCCAGGAAGTCCCAGGGCAGCGTCAGCATTACTAAGTGCTTACAAAACCCAATGAGCCCCTTGGGACGGGCAGACACAGGCAGAAGGTGTGGCACGGCAGGCAGGGGAAACCTGTAGATCGTGTCTGGAAGAAATAAATCTTGTGACACTCCAGCTGGTTACCCACGGGAAGCACAGGGACAGCCATCCCCAACTGAGCAGCACTGAGTGTCACCCTCCGGTTTGACTGCTCTGCACCCCCCTGAATGTGTTTTGCCCCTGGCCAAGGCTTCCCCAGCCAGCCCTGCCACCACTGCACTGTGGGACATGGCTGCCTGGAGAGTAGCCATCATCGGTGCTGGTGCCTCTGGCCTGTGTGCCCTGAAATGCTGCCTGGATGAGGGCCTGGAACCCATCTGCTTCGAGAGGAGCGGGGACATCGGGGGACTCTGGCGCTTCGAGGTAAGTCCTGCGCCACACCAGTCTGCTCCACAGCAGCAGCACAGATGGGACCGGGGGATGGGTCGTTGGCAGCTAATGAAGCACCACAGCCCTGCTTTGCATGAGTGTGGCAGGTAGGTTTCCAAGGAAAATCACAGGAAAGAAAAACTGCTGCGGCACCAGGAGGTCCCCAGTTGCCAGCTGTTGTGCCAGCCACATGGGACCCATCTCCTTCCCACTAGCAGCAAGGACAGACCCTCACCAAGGACCTTACCCCAGGGCTCGCTTCCCCAGCTCAGCCCCCCTCTTCCCAGTCTCATCCATCGCTTCCCCTGTTTTATTCTTGGTCCTCTCCAGCCCTGGTTTCTTCTGACCCAATTCTTGCCCTGCTCAGCCCTTCCCTGGAAATGCGGGTAGCTCCTCTCCCTGTCTCTGTGCAGCTCGACCACACAGAGGCACTCTCTGCCTTGGGGGAAGCCCTGGAGCTTGTTTCTGCCCCCACCTAATGAGGCTGCTGACTCTCCTCCTCCACCGGGGACCCACCAGCAAGGAGACAAGCCTTCCCACCCATCCCACCTGATAGATGGATGGGAGAGCCCAGGGGGGCACACAGCACACCACACCAGCGTGGGGTTTGGGATGGCTCAGTTACAGTCCGCTGGTTCTGCCCATGGTGGGTCAGAAATGGGGCTGGTGAGGCAGGGCAGCCACACCCAGCTGCTGGGGCAGAGAACCAGTGAGCAGGAGCAGCTGCTCAGCTGGAAGCACCACATCTGGCTCAGCAACCTGCAAGACCCACTGTAGAAACTGGGACAATGGCACCATGGCAGCTTTGGGAATATGTCACCTCATTGGGGTCAGGGGTGGGAGCAGGGAAACTAAGCCACAAGACCCCATGACCCGCTGTCAACACTGCATGGCCCCTGCCCACCCAGAGCTTCCTCCTCCCTCTTTTGTGAGGCAATTGGTCACACCTGCAGGAGGGTGCTGGGTGCAAGGACAGGTTCTACGACCACCTGTGGCTTAATCCTCACACATAGGCATGGTGAGGTGCCAAGCAGGGAAGGCAGGCAGCCCTGGGGTCTCTGGCCAGAGCTGAGCCATGTCCCACTCCTGCAGGACTGCCCCGAGGAGGGCCGTGCTAGCATCTACCGCTCTGTCATCATCAACACCTCCAAGGAGATGATGTGCTTCAGCGACTTCCCCATCCCCGAGGACTTCCCCAACTACATGCACAACTCCAAGATCATGGAGTACTTCCGCATGTACGCTCGGCACTTCGACCTGCTCCGCCACATCCGCTTCGGGGTGAGAGCCGGGGGGTTCTAGGAGGGTGGCAGCAGTGGGGCACTGGGTGCCTGACACCTGCTCCCCCCATGCCCAGACCAGTGTGTGCTGCGTGTCCAAGCGCCCTGACTTTGCTGCCACGGGCCAGTGGGAGGTGGTGACAGAGAGTGAGGGGAAGCAGGAGGCAGCCATCTTCGACGCCGTGCTGGTGTGCAGCGGGCACCACACCAACGCACACCTCCCGCTGAACACCTTCCCAGGTACCACCTTGCAGCCTGCCTGCCTGGTCCCCAACACCCTTGGGACCACCCTCCTCTCTGACTTAGCTCCCACCCCACTCTGGCTGCTGCCAAAAATTCCTCCGCAAGTTAATGCACCAGGCAGGACTGCATAAGCATGCTGCTGTCCCACCCCTCTTGGTGGTCTGTCCTTGGTGGCTCTTGCTGTGCTGTCAGCAGCTGACTAAAGCGCCCTGCTGGCAGGTGTCACCGCTGCCAGCTCGCCTCTCCCACCAGACACAGGCTCCCCAAGCTGCTGGCCACACACCCACTGGGCTCTCCAGCTCCCTGGCGAGGCTTGAGAGCTTGGTGCTGATGATGACCTTCACTGGGTGCCAGGCAAAAATGCCCAGAGGGCTTTCAGCTGTGGAGACCCTCTTTGGGTGGGGAACAGGCTGAAGCACACAATCACCAAAGTCTGTTGGAATGGCATGGACCCTGGCTGCTCCTCTGCCCTCAGCGCGTGGCACCAGACAGGAACCGCATGAGGATTTTGCATGAAGGTCTCCAGTCCAAGCCCTGCTCCAAGCCAGGCCAGCCCCAAAGCCAGAGCAGGATGCTCAGGGCCACACTGAGCATCTCCCAGGCTGGAGATGCCACCACCTCTTTGGGCACCATCCCAGGGTTGCATCGCTCCTGTTGGTCACACTGGTCCCAGCCTGTTCCCAAAAAACACACCACCAGTCTCAGCAGGGGGACATAGCCACTCCCTGCCCCATGTCCCTGCCCAGCACGGCTTCTCTCTCTTCTAGGGCTAGAAAATTTTGAGGGCTGGTACCTGCACAGCCGGGACTACAAGAGCCCACAGCACTTTTTGGGGAAGCAGGTGGTCGTGGTTGGCACCGGGAATTCAGGCGTCGACATTGCGGTGGAGCTGAGCCACACAGCCAAGCAGGTGTGCTGGGAGAGCTGCCATGTCTGGGGTGCTTATTATTTGTACCCTAGAGAGCATCGAGCAACCCCTCACCATCCCCTGTGGGCTCCCCTCCCTTAAGCACCTGCCGTGAACACCCCGCCCCTCTCAACAGGGATGGCTGTTGTGGTCCCAGCAGCTGTGCCGGCATCCCTGTCCAAGGAGCACAGCGGGGTGCCAGCCCAGTCCCAAGGATGCTGCCACACCACCACCTCTCCTCTCCCTCTTCCCAGGTCTTCCTCAGCACCAAGCGTGGGACCTGGGTGCTGCACCGGCTGGCAGATGGTGGGTACCCCTTTGACTTCACATACATCAGCCGCTTCACGCAAATCCTCCGCAGCCTACTGCCTCAAAGCACCACCAATTTTTACCTGGAGAGGAAGCTGAACGCCCGCTTCAACCATGCGCTCTACAGCCTGCAGCCCCGGCACCAGTGAGTGCCCCAGCAGCACCCTGGGTACCTGCCCCAGTGCTGCCCACCTCACTGCCTGGGCCCTACACAAGATCTGTCTGTGCCTTTCAGGATCCTTGACCAGCACCCAACCATCAACGACGACCTGCCCAATCGCATCATTTCAGGCAGGGTGATAGTGAAGCCGAACATCCAGGAGTTCACGGAGACATCTGCCATCTTTGAGGACGGCACCAGGGAAGACATCGATGCTGTGGTCTTCGCCACAGGATACAGCTTCTCCTTCCCCTTTCTTGAAAAATATGTGAAGGTGGTGGAGAACCAGATCTCCCTCTACAAATTCATGTTCCTTCCTGACCTGGAGAAGCCTACACTGGCTTTCATTGGCCTCATTCAGCCCCTGGGTGCCATCATGCCCATCTCTGAGCTCCAGTGTCGCTGGGCCACTCGCATCTTCAAGGGTAAGTGACGCCGCCTGTGGGATGCAGTTTGGCTTCCCTGCCACAGCAAAACTGAATTGTTCAGCTGGTGGCATCCTCTCGCACACCACCTCCATCCACTCACTTTTTTATCCTCCTTTTGCTTCTTCATGGGGATAAAAACCAATGCTGCATTTTGCAACAAGCCTCGTACTCATCATTGCAGGGGCCACTAAGAGGTCCTGTTGCCTGCAAACCACCTTCTCCCTTTCCTTTCCTGATGTTACTTTCTTTGCTCATGCCTCCCACTTTGCTCCTGACGTGGTGGCATGTCCCCAAAGCCCCAAAGGCTTCCATGTGCAAGCAGAGACCAGGCTGGGCTGCAGAGCCAAACCATGGCGGGAGCACAGCCCTCCTTCCAGCTACAGCCTCCTTTTCCCCAGGGCTGCAGGACCTGCCGCCATCCACTGTCATGCTGGCTGACATTGCACAAACCAAGGAGAAAATGGCGGAGAGGTAAGGACCCTACACTGTCATCGTTCCTGCCACCCTTACCCCTGTGCCCACATGCCAAACCTGCCTGCCCTCCCTGCCCACAGGTACGTGAAGAGCCAGCGGCACACCATCCAGGTGGATTACATCCCCTACATGGATGAGCTCGCCTGCCAGGTGGGGGTCAAGCCCAACCTGCTCACCCTCTTCCTCACTGACCCCAAGCTGGCACTGGAGGTGGCCTTTGGGCCCTGCACGCCGTACCAGTACCGCCTGCAGGGCCCAGGCAAGTGGGCGGGCGCCAGGGAGGCCATCCTCACCCAGCAGCAGCGTATCATCAAGCCCCTACAGACACGGCGTGTGGAGAAGCAAGCACTGGCCCCTGCTGTGCCCCTCATCTTCAAGCTGGTTGGGGCTGTGGCCATCTTCGCTGTCATTTTTGCTTACTTGTAGGTGCCTTACAAGTGTGGGAAGGGAGGCTTTGTGATGTGCTGGGGGGGCTGACTGGCCATCCCCTGCCCTGAGGCAGCCTGTGCATCCCAGTACTGGCAGGAGCCCTCCTCCTGCCCAGTATGGCCCCACTGTGGCCACACTGCCAGCTCAGGGTGAACAGAGCCTCCCTGGCTGCTGAAATAATGCTTCAGCACCTCTTTGCACCTCCTCCTGGAGAGCAGCTGCCAGGGACAGGCAACGAAACCTGCTCACATGCAGGATAAAATCCAGACCCCCTTTGGCAGCGCTTTTGACCTAGCAGGGACAATACCAGCTTTCCTGTTGCCTATAACCTGTCTGAGCCACCACTGGCACACTCACATGAGAGCCAAGTAGCAAGGGCACAGCAGACTTCCTAACTATAAAAGTGTGTTAAACAGAACCAGGTGTCCGTCCCATCACTGACGCCATGTCCCACTGCGTGCCAGGGACACACACACAGGTTTGAGGTCAGCCTCGTGCCAGCAGTGCAGCTCCAGCTCTGCGACAGCACAGGCTACATGCACACACACACGTGCACATGTGTATATCCATAGCAAAAGAGCCTCGCCCAGGGTGTCTGCCACCAGCATAGATCACAGTAGCCACAGCGGCATGGCTCAGTGCCACCCTCATCACCTGCACGCAGCCGCTCTGGAGGATGGCTGGGTGGGTTGGGGACCTGGAGCAGTGACAGGGGGTCCTGGCCACCACACATGGGGGCTGGCACAGCTGCCAGCCGCCAGTGCCCTGAGAATCCCCCTGGTTTTGTTTTCCACGCCACGATATACCGAATCTGGAGCATGTCCACATCTCAGCCCCACA